AAAAAAAAAAAAAAAAAAAAAGGCCCTCCCTGGCTCCACTGCCCTTAGGACATGGACATGGGGGCCTGGCCACTTGGCTCAGTGTTCAAGGCCTTTCATCATAAGGCCATGAAGCACATCTGAAAGCTGTCCCTGCTGCATGGCCCCCCAACACAGACCCCCCAGGGGCCCTGTCTGCCCATCACCGTGTACCTGGGGCTGTGGCCACGGAAGTAGGCGTGGACATACTCCGTGAAGGCTGTGGCTACCGGCAGGGCATCCTGGGAGCCCAGGACCACAGGGCTCGGACCCCGGGAGACTCCTAGGGGTGGCGGGGAAGGAATGGGGAACAGACAGATGGGGTGAAGACAGGCCTCAGGCTCAAGACCCCACCCCCACCTCGGCCCGGCCACACCTGTGCCAACAGAGAAGCTACCCACCCAAACTACAGAAGGTGAGACTGAGGCCCAAAGCAGGGCCCAGGCCCACCCTCACGTACCGTGTCCTGTCTGGGATGAGAAGCAGGGCCGTTCCGGGCCGGTGCTGGGGGCCGAGGAGCCCAGTGGGGAGGGGCTCAGGGAACGGGACTGGAAGGGAAAGAAACAAGCTGGGCCCAAAGCGGACCCCAGAGGCACCCACAGCCCAGCTCCTGCCATGCCCCTCACCTACCAGGTCCCCGTTGCTGCGTGTGAGAGGGCAGGACACCTTCCTAGAGCGGAGTCTCCTGGGTGGGGCTGCCAGGCCCTCCCTGGCTGTGGGGTCAGCAGGTGCAGGCATCAGGTCTGGGAGCGATTGCACAGAGGCACTGCTGAGATGCTGCCCAGGGCCTCTCAGGCCTTCCCAGGGGCACGAACTCAGCCAAAATCTAGGAGGCGGGCTTTTCTGTGGAGACCCCAGTTGGTGCTGAAGTCCTGGGGCTGCTGAAAAGGCGCCAGACAGGACTGCAGATACCATCCATACCCCTGAACCTCCCAGACACCAGAATGGTGGCCGAATAAGGGGTGAGCTCCCCATCACTGGGGGTATGCAAGCAAGCACTGAAGGCTTAGGAGGCAGGCACGCTGTAGGGTTCAGCAGAGGATTTTTAGCCAGCATTCACCCATTCTGTGACCTCCACCCTCTCTGAGAACCTGACCACAGCCACCTACGGTGGCCTGTGTCTGAGTTCCACAAGTTTATAACACCCAAGCTCCCCTCCCTCTCCTGCTTCCTCAGGGTCCTAGTTTTCTGTTCCATCTGTGAACATGCTCACTCGCTTGCCTACCTCCTATCCTACATATCTCACTGCACCCCAGGCTGTGCTCCCCCTCTACCCTACCTTCTCAGCACTGCGGACATTTGGGGGCTGAACCATTCTCGGGCGGTGGGGGCTGCCCTGTACACTGCAGGGTGCTGAGCAGCAACCCCAGCTTCCACCCACTGAAGCTGGGGGAGCACACCCCTGCCTGGTGGCGACAACCAAAAACGTCTGTAGATACTGACAATGCCCCCTGGGGACAGAACTGGCCGGGATGGATAAGAGCCTCTGCTCAGGCTGAGCATGGTGGGTCACGCCTGCAATCCCAACACTTTGGGAGGCTGAGGCAAGCAGATCCCCTGAAGTCAGGAGTTCGAGACCAGCCTGGCCAACCGGGTGAAACCCCGTCTCTACTAAAAATACAAAAATTAGTGGGGCGTGGTAGCGGGCGCCTGTAATCCCAGCTACTGGGGAAGCTGAGGCAGAAGCATCTCTTGAACCCGGGAAGGGGAGATTGCAGTGAGCCGAGATCGCACCACTGTACTCCAGCCTCGGCGACAAGAGCAAAACTCCGATTAAAAAAAAAAAAAGCTGCTTCTGCTGTCACTCTGTGGCCTTCACCCACCTCGGCTCTCCCTTGAAGGGGCTCCAGCCAGGCCTTTTCCTATGGAGGGTGCCAAGCGCCCTTGTCGGCACTGCTGGGGATGTCGGCACTGCTGGGGGCCTCAGATGGTCACAGCCCACCGTCCCTCTGACTCGGGGGCCTCCCACTCTCCTCACGCAGCCCCCAGGAGCCCACCCCGACGCTCTCCCACCACCTCCGGCTGTCCTCCTCCCTCCAGCCCCGCCCGCTCACTGGCTCTGTCCTCTCTTCTGCTCTCCCTGGGCGGCCGTGTTTTGATGACGTCTTCAAAGAGGGGTGCTCTGACCTGACCTGACCTTCCCTAAGCTCGGGGTCCACTGTCCACTTGACACCTAAAGGCCCAGCCTCAACATCCCCCTTGACTCCACCCCTTCCCCCATCCTCCTCCCTCCCTTGACCCCGCCCCTTCCCCATCCTCCTCCCTCCCTTGACCCCGCTACTTCCCCATCTTCCTCCCTCGACCCCACCACATCCCCATCTTTCTCCCTCCCTTGACTCCGCCCCTTTCCCAAACCTCCTCCGTCCCTGACTCTACACCTTCCCCATCCTCCTCTCTCCCTTGACCCCGCCCCTTCCCCGTCTCCCTCCCTCGACCCCACCACATCCCCATCTTTCTCCCT